AACCCTGAAGCCAGATTTCCTCAACAAAGTTGCAGAGGAGAGATGGGGCTTTCAGCAATAGCATCAATCTTCCAATGCCACTCTCAGCCATATGCCCAGGAATTCATCCACCTCTAAGCCTGCTCTCCAAGGCCCTGGTTTCTCTCTATTTACAGCAGAGAACCTACAAGAGCTCCACAAAGAGACCTCCTTAGCAGCTGTGCTACCCCTCAGTGTAAGGATTGTGAGAGCTGAAAGGCAGATCCTTTGCCCTGCAGTGTTCCTGGCCTGCTGAAAGGCAATTGTTTCGGGGTGGGGGTTCCCTTTCCATCAGACAGCAGTGATCATTTCAGCTACATGTGTTTGAGTTCCTAAGTGAAAAGTCCACTGTGAAGCTCCTGAATCACACTGTGTTGTCCAGCAATAGAGAATACTCTTGCCATGTCTGTGCAAGGTTGTGGACCGCAAGGGGGTTTGGTGCTGCTTTGGGACAGAGTAGAACTCTGCAGGCTCGTCTTTTGCTTTTGCTGTAGGGAAGGTTGGGTTGCTCTGCGTAAATTCACAAACCCACCTGCAGCGGCTGCCACTGTGATGTCAGGGCATGTTGCCACGTCACAGTGCTGTCAAGGAAAGGTTACCCTGGTGCCTGGGAGGCCTCAGTGTCCAGAGCAGCTCTTGGGCAGGCTCAGTGCAGGAGGATCCTCCTGGTCGAGGCGTCTCAGCCAAGACTTTGCACCCTGACGGGGGCGTTCTTTTGTTCTTCTCTCGGTGTTGTACGGTCCGCGGACTTGTGCAGCACTGCTCAGATGATGGAGCCATTCTGTGGAGCAGTTTGCACTGCTTTTTCTTTGGCTTATTCTGGCTATTTCTTGACTCACCTGACAAGTAAGTCGAGGGTTTTCCGAGTTGCAGCATCTTGAAACAAAACTGCCACAAAGATAGACTGAGTTAGGGAAAGCTCCTGTCAACAGCTTCAGCTAAAAAGGGTGTGTCTCTAGCCAGCGGGCTGTGGGCAGCATTTCCAATGGAACCTCCACGGGATGGGCTGTACCAGTGCAGTCTGTCACTTCCTCAGCTTGTGATGTTCTCTCCTGAACTGAGGGAGAAGTCTCTATTGTCCTTCATTCCCTCCAGAAAGGATTTGACTCTGGGACTTGACACTAACTGTGTGCTGTGACAGCGATTCCCCTAGGGATGAAGTGCAAACTCCAAAGCAGTTAGAGTGTGCTTCTGAACCCAGCAGCTGCTCCCCTGCTATGACACAATAGAACTGCCACACCTTAAGGGGATTCTGCAGCAGCTTTTCTACAGAAATGTCTTCAGCAAGCTAATGGGAATTAGAGCATGCAATTTCTTAAAAAAAAAAAGTACAGAAACATGTTCTCTGATTGGGTTGACTTCTTCTGTGGGATTGCCCAGCACAGACAGTTTTCTAACAGTAGCTGGTTGCTTTTCCCTTTCCTCTTGCAGGACACATCACACGTGGATGGAGACAAGCCCACCCTGTGGTGAGTGGGACCTTCCTGCTCTTTGACCTTCCTGCTGTTTGAGAACTGTGGAGCAAGCTGTGAGCTTGGCCTCTTGCAGTAGAGTGCCAGCCTGGTAGGCTGAAAGACAGTCCCTTTCAGTGTCTGCCTCAGCAGCAGCAAAGGGAGCACGGCCAGTTTCCCAATGTTCCACCAAAGAGCTTTTTAACAGAGAAAAGTCAAGGTTTGCAGACACAAGGTTACTTGCTGATACCAGCCAGGGTGCAATATCCCATTCACAGGAATGTGCATTACTATCTCATTGGTCTAATTAGGCCATTTCAAGGTACTTTGAAGGACCTAGAATCCTCCTTCCATCAAAGTTCATGATTTCTCCGCTGTCCAGATGGAAATAGAAGCACAATAGAAATCAGGTTCTGAAAGACAGCTTCCTCCCTGTCCCTCATGCTGCTATCTGTCCACAGAGCACACCACCAGCATCAGAACCTCCTCTGGCTCTCGCTGTTCCTGAAGATGAGGCTAAAGAGGAGGGCGATGCCAAGAAATTTCCACGTGTTGCCACTCCACGGTTTGAACATCCCGAAGCAGTAAGTGGCAGCTTTGGTTGGCACTGTCTCTGGTGCAGTGCAGAGCTGCAAGGTCCTGCTCAGACAGCATTTGCCCTTTGGGGATGAAGATGCTGAGGGCTGGAGTTTCTCCATGACTCCAGCACTTCCCTGCAGTCCCTGACACCTGGGAAGTGGGTTCTGAACCTTCACATGGAACCATCAGTTTCCTGCTGTCCTGACCGGCCTGTGAATCTCTTTTGGTCCCAGCAAAGAGGCAGCGCCATGTCCTTGCATGCTGCCAGTGTCAAAGGGAGCAGGTTTATGCACAGTGTCTGTGCAGGCTCCCTGTCGACAGCGCACAGAGCGGTCCAAAGACCCAGTTCCCACCTTGCAGGATGCGTAGGAAACACTTCCCCTGGAGAGAGCTGCCCCTCTCCATTGAGTATCTAAGTAGTTCCTGACAAAACTTAGACCACAGCCCGAACTTTGATATGCCCCAAGGCTGGGGAGAAGAATCCAACACAGCTCTGCATTGGAAAGGGAACGGTCTGGGTGTGAAGGGCTGGCAGGCAGTTCCTAGGGCCCATTCCCTAAAGCTTGAAAGACTGAGGCGAAGTCAGTTGAAGAAATCAGAGAAGGGAAATGCTCCCTGCTTCTGTTGAGACACGTACATACCAACTCCAGAGTCATTTTGCAGGCCCTGACAGAAGAGCTTTCTGCCGGTCAGGACTCCGCAGCCCAGATGGAGTGGCAGGAGAGGATGGAAGGAGGGCTCAGTGTCCAGGAGCTCCTGTGAGTCTTAAACTTTCTTGCTTTCTCTGGGCGGGGGTGGGCACTGCTGGGCTTTAGCAGGCCCCCCCCATCAAAGGAGGAGCTTTGCCTCGTTGTAATTTGTAGCATGGGTGGGAGAATATGTAGCACGTGGGCAGGTGTGGCTGCCTCCTGTCATACAGCACAGCTGTGTCCTTGTGCTCGCTCTATGAACCTGGGAAAAAATCAATCCAAAGGAGACCAGAGTAGTTGGGGACAGATAGAGGCTGAAAGAACAGGGGTTCATGGACTTGGACTGGGCCAGAGGCCTCCTGGAGTCCTTGCTGGCCTGAATCACCCTGTGATCTTGGGATTACAGGACTGGAAATTCCTACACATCTTCTCCCCAGAGAGCTTGCAGGCTCTTTCATTGTTTCCCTGCTGAAGGCAAGAGTAATTGTGCAGTGTATCAAAAAGGAGACTAAGACCTAGCAGGCAGGAAGCTGTTCACTTGAGAATGGCTGAGCTTCCTGGAAAAGGTCCATGATTTCTGGAAGCTTCTTTTCCTTCCTCAATGACGAGGCTTTCACCTTCATCAAGGACAAAGAGTGACGGAGCTCTAGTCAGGAATTCCAGCAGTCCTTAAGTGGAACTAGAAGGCAGTTGGAAGTCACTTCAACTGCCATCTGTGGGACACAAGATGTAGTCTTGGTTTAGGCAATGAGACTGTTTTGCTCTTAAAGACTTGTTTGTCTGTCCTGTTCTCACAGACCAAAGGAGCTGCCTGTAGCTGAGAGAAGACCCTCCTTCTCAGAGCAGGACTTGGTAGTGGTGGAAGAGACAGTGGAGGAATCGCAGGTCCAGAAGGATCTGCTCAAGGAGGAGAAAGCTGACCTTAGCCAGGCACTGGCGAAGGTATGGTCACTTTCTTCCTAGGTGGCACTTGTGGCAGAGGGAGTTGCACTGGCGAGACCAGCCCAGATGCTGTTTCTGGCATAGAAGGAGGGGACAGGGTTGTTCTCCTTCTTGGAAAGAAGCAGGAGCAGGGCAGTGACCGTTGCTCTGTACTCGGCCCCGGTGAGGCTGCGCCTCAAGTCCTGTGTTCAGTTTTGGGCCCCCCACAACTAGAAAGACATGGAAGTGCTGGAGCGTGACCAGGGAAGGGCGAGGGAGCTTAGGAATGTTCTGGAGCACAAGTTTGATGAGGAGACACTGAGGGATCTGGAGATGCTCAACCTGGAGTAAAGGAGGCTGAGGGAGGTCTTCAGCCAGACTTGCATGAGTTTAGAAATGACAGTGGGCTGCTCCCTGCCAAGCCTCCCTTCGTTGCAGGCTGCTGCTTGACTCACTGAAGGAGGCGACACCTTCCTCTTGCTGCTTTTTTGTCGTTGTTGTTGTTTTCTTTTGGTTTTGTTCTTTTTTTCCTGACGAGGACTATTCTAGCATCTTTTTGCTTCCTTCAGCAAGCCAAGTTGGTTTTGCTCAAGCTTTCCTGAAGGTTTCCAGCACTAGAGTTTCAGTTTGTAAGGTAGTAGTTCTGGAAGTACTGTTGTAGGAAACCGTCTTGTTTGAGGGAGGAACGTGTGGGGAAGGAGGTGTTCTGGTCCCAGGCAAGCCAGTAGGGCCTTACACATCCCTTTGGAGTTAGCAGTGCCTGTGCCTTGTGGCTGCCCCTGTGACCCTGGCTGGCCTTGGCCCTGTGACCCTGACTTTTAACCCCTTTGCTTTTGCACAGGCAGGGGAGAGTGTCTATTGGCTGCTACAGAGGCGTGGTGCTCATCTGTGCCTCACTGAAGCAACAGCGGTGCGTAAGACCTCTGCTTCACCCCAGACACCCCTCAGTTCTGAGGCCTTGCTGCAGCCACGTGCAAGAGAAGCAAGAAGCCCAGCTCCTCTTTCCCTCCACCAGCCTCAGCAGGCAGTTCATCCTCTTCAAGCAACAGTGTACCACTCTGACCATTTCCCAGAGCGGGCCATGCAGCACATGCTCTTAAACTTTAAGCCCACACATTCCACAGGTGGCAGTGTCTGGCTGTGCCCAGAGCTCCCGAGGAGGGACTCTGACTGTAATTTGTCCCGCTTTCAGGTTTGCCACCAGCCCGAGTCAGCTGGCAGGGGTCTGGAGCAGCTGCTCCAGGAGTTCTCTTGCCAAGGGCACGCCCTGGCCCAGGTGACCAGAGAGAAGGAGTTGCTGGTGCAGGAGAGGGCTGCCCTAGAGGCCCGAGTGGCAGCCATGGAGCGGGACCTACAAGGCCTTTCAGAGCAGCTGGCAGAGGCCAGGTAAAGGCAGGGAGGAGACTCCTGATGGGAGGGAGAGGATCGAAGGTGTGCAGTTGTGAAGGTGCTAAAGCATGACAGGAGCACTGATTGCATGCTGTGTGCTCTGCAGATGCTTTTCACCTTCCATGGACAATGGAAGAGTCTGGAGAAAAAAGAAAAGTACACTGTGATTTGAATGTTAGTGTTTGGACAGCTAAAGCTGGCAGAGCTCTCCTGAGTCTTAGACACTTTGGTTTGTGAGCCCTTGCACACTCCTGTGCCAAGTCCCAAGGAAACCAACTTGGCTCGGAATTGAATAGTAGGGAAAGCATGCAGATGCTCCCTGAACCCCAAAGTTCTCTCTGGTTTGAGTTTCTTTTCTGTGCTTCTGAACAGCAATCTTTCCTTGCCAAGTACTTTGACATGGCACCTTCAGAATGCAAGGCCCTTACATGTCAACGTTGTGAGAAGGTCGCTGCCCTTTAGGGTGAAGCCTGAGGGTCACGCTGAAAATGTTGAGGGCCTTCTGAGCAAACTCTGGTGAAGCGTGTGCAGGATCTAGGGTTGGTTACAGCAGCAGGGAAAGGTCTTCTGACTTCTCGACAGACACTGAGCATTCTTGTTTAGCATTCATGTCAACACATCTCCCCAAACTGTCAAGTCCCTTTGGATGGGCCCTCTTCCTATTTAAAGAGTGCCAAGTCCTCTGGGCTACCACATGCTTAGTGAGCAATAATAAAGGTAGTAGCAAGTTCTTCTGTTACCTTCCAGGGATTTAAACTGCAGGACCTTGAGCCACATCTGACTGGAAAACCTCCCAGGGTGGGTGTCAGGAGAAAGCAAGTGATTTCTCTTCATCTTCCCAATTTGCAGGTCTGAGAAGGAGAGCGTGGAATGCAGCCTGTTGGAGGCTCAGCAGCACGTTTCTCAGCTGGAGGGTGTCAGGAATCGCCTGGAACTCCAGCTTCTCACAATCATGCAGGCCAAGGAGGTGATACAAGGTGAGAGCCTCGTGTGCTTTGTTTCTGGGGATCCCCCTGCCCAGAGAAGTTGCTATGAAACCAGCTTTGTCCGCTGGGCCCCTGGGGAGTGAAGGAGCTGGGGCAGGTCCCTCCTAGACTGAAACCCAAAGGGCTTAAGGTCAGTAAAATCTACTGCTTATAGAGACTCTGAATCTTGCCCTTTGTCGTGTTTGCAGGGGACGTGAAGTGCCTTCGGCGGGACCTGGAAGCACAGAGATCCCTCTTGAAGCGGGAAAGGGAAGACGTGGCCCAGCAGCTGCGGTGGGCAGAGCAGCAGTGCAGCCACACGCTCAGGCTTTGGGAATGTGCTCATGAGGCGGAGAAAAGAAAGCTCCTGCAAAACCTGGTAGGAAACAATACGCCTCTGAATTTTTCAGGCAAGATTTGTGGCTGCCCATAGCAGAAAAACAGCATGAAATGGCAGTGTTTGTCTGCCATAGGCCAGACACTGCTGAACAAGGCAACAGAGCCAAGGGCGTGCACTGTTCAGCTTGGGGGTTGTGGCAGCAATGAAGTTTCCCTTTCTTTATTTCACGAGCTTGGCTGGGGCTTCACATCCAAGTGTCTTCCTCCCTTCATCAGGCAAGGGAGCTGGAAGGCCAGCGTTTGCAGACGCAGGAGCTGCTGAAGCAACAGGAAAGCCTCATGGCAGAGGTAGAAAGGGAGCACGAGAGAACACTCCGTGAGATGATGCAGGAAGTTGCCAGCGTGAAAGCTGAAAAGGAAAAGGTAGGAGCCAGAGCCAAGCAAGTGGGAAAGACTGTGAGAGGAGGGTTTGTATGGTGCTTTGGAATCTTCTGGGCTCCCTATTGTTAGTGCTTCTCCAGACACCGCCCATCTGGGTAGAATTGTCTCTTAGATGTCCCTTTGTGAACAGGAGGAATGCTTTAGCAGCCATGGGAGCTTGGGCCACGAGGGACAGGGCCTGTAATGGGAGAGGCTCCCAAAGAGTAGACTGAAGGTCGACAGGGACAGCGTTGCAGGCCTGAAGAGAACACAAAGCCCAGAACTGTCTCCTCCTGCACAAGACGAGGGATAGCCTGGGCAGCAAGGCTGTCAGACCCTTGAGCAATGCCACCCATTTCCTGTTAGCTGCCTAAGAGCTGGCTGAAGTTTTTGTCATGGTTGGACCACATTTATACTGCCTGTCTCAATTAGGAGTCTGTGTCTCCCTGTGGGCCGAGGATGACCCAGGAGAGCAGCAGCACAGGGCTTGGGGAATGCATGAGCCGACCAGTCTTTGAGTCTCACCACCCCAACGCTGTGTGGGAAGTTTAAAGACATCTTGTCTTCCTTTCTGTGCAGGTCCTGCAAGAAGTCGAGCGTGAGAAGACTGCACTGCTGGAGAGGCTCTGCCAGGCTCAGGTGGAGCTGCTCCAAACCCGGCAGCAGCTGGGGCAGCTCAGGCAGCAGGTGAAAGAGGAGCGAGACAATGGGCAGGTAAGCCTGAGGAGCCCGGGGACAGAGAGGAGGGCAGTAACAAGGGCCTTCAACGTGGACCTTGGGACTGAGGAGGGAAGGACCATTGCAGGCCCTGAAAGCACAGAGCCCTGCAGGCTCCAGAGATGAGCACCAGGAAGGAAGGCTTAGGCTGCAAGCAGAGCTGGGTGGAGGAGCAGAACCAAGGGGATGAATGAATGGGATGTTGAGATTGCCAGAGGGAATGCACCAGCATGATGGCAGGTCCCAGGAACTTTCTCTCCATTTGTGTTTCCAGCACATCAAGGAAAAGCTGGAAGCAGAGCTGCAGGAAACACAGAGGAAGATGAAGGCAGTGGAGAGGAGGCAACAGGAAGAGATGGAAGGATTCCAAGAGGAAATCCGTCTCCTACTTCAGCACTGGGAGGCTCTACAAAACCAGGTGAGTGAAACAGTGGTAGGCACTGCAGTCATGCAACAGGTGGTCTCTGCCCTTCTTGCCTTTGCATTGCAGAGCAGCAGCCTGGTGGGGGTAATCCCTCTGGCTGCCATCCTGCTGTGGTCGCAGCTGCTCTGAAGGGCACTTACTGGTGTGCTGACTCTCAGCTGCCACCCTGGACAGCAGGGCTAGTCCTCTGGCCGCTTGGCCAGCAATCATTCCCATGGATTTGTGATGGCCTGTGACTGTGAGCCTTGTTTGGTGAGGTGTATTGTTGGGTGAACATGGTGACCCTGATAGATTTGGGAACAAGTTGTCCGTATCCACTGTGTGTCCTGTCCTCATTCATGACGGGGTGAACTTTCAAGCTGTTCTTTCCCGTTCCTCAGAGTCTCTGATATGGCTGACAGTGACAAGCTGTAGTCTCCCACTGCTTTGCATTGTTCAGCTGCAGGTGGAAGAGTGAACATCTCAGCTCGCAACCTCACATAAATGATGTGTGGCAAGTTGAAAGCCATCTTCTCCACCTTTCTGTGCAGGTCCTGCAAGAAAAGGCACGTGAGAAGACTGCTCTCTTGGAGAAGCTGTGCCAGGCCCAGGTCGAGCTGCTCCAAACCCGGCAGCAGCAAGGGCAGCGCAGGCAGGAGGAGAGAGAGGAGCAAGACAATGGGCAGGTAAGCCTGAGTAACCCAGTGACAGAGGGGAGGGCAGTAACAAGGGCCTGCAAGGAAGCTTTTGGGGCTTAGGAGGGAAGGACCACTGCAGGCAAGTCCCAGCAGGTGATGGGTCTCAAAGCTGAGCAAGATCTGAGTGAGGCACAGAACTGTCAAGGCAGAAGGTGCTGGAGGCTGAACACTTGTGGAGGAATAGAGCAGACAATGGCAGGAGACAGAACATCCCAACAGGGAGCTGCAAGTGTGTCTGCAGTCCTTGGAGCGGGAAGGGACTAGTGGGGATGAAGGGGAGCGATCGTTGTTGCAGCCATTTCTCGGAAAATCTGTGAAAATATTTAATTAATCTATTGAAGAGCCCTGGAGGCGGCATTGCAAATGTGATTGCTAGGGCGTCTCTGCCAGCCACCTTTCTGACACAAACCAATTGCTTGTCCCAGATCTACAGAGGTGAACCTGCCAGCGAACCTGCTGCTGCAGCAGCCCCCTGGAATGCAGCCTCCACTCCCCAGCCTGAGAACTCAAGCACCAGCAGTTCGTCCAGCTCCCGCCTGGTCGCAGAGCAGCTGCGAGAGCTGAGAGAAGAGGAGGCCCTGAAGCTGCTGAGTATGTCTGGTGTATTTCTTGTCTGCTACAGCAGTGTCTTGTGTGCATGTCTCAGCATGAGCTGGGCCACGTGGTCCTCCTCACTTTGGTGTCACACAGGCATTTACGCCTCCCTACAGATTGTGCTGCTGTGCTTGGAGGCAGCACTTGAGAGAGCACTCGGGGTGTTCCTGCTGCCCCTGAGGGCAGCTGTCACTGCCTTGGGTTTGCCTGAGCTTCCTCCTACACTAAAGGCAAAAGCAGGGATTGTTCCCAGATGAGCAAAAGGCTCTGACCAAGTGAATGGCCGAGAGAACTCCTGTCTGCTCGTGGAGTTGTGATCCAGCTGAGCAAAAGGGCTCAGAGCCCCAGCCAGAGGGGCTGCCTTTTGCATCTGCCTCCAGCTGGTATCTCTGCTTTCAAGACAGCATGTTGCATTTTGTTTCTTTCAGGGAGCATTGTGAGCCTGGGAGATCCGCTGACAAAATACACGGGATGGGAAAATATTGGCCAAGGGTGAGTGCAACCACACTTCCTTCGACAAAGCCAGGGACCAGGGATTTTGCTGGTGCCACACTCAAGCGTGAAGTCGAGCAGGCTCCCAGTGTGCTCAGACACAGGCTCAGAGTCTCCCGTCACACACTGCTGATCAGAATTTCCTCGCTGCTCTTCTGTTTCCAGGGGCTTCGGAACCGTGTATAGAGCATTCGATGCTGTCACAGGAGGAGAGGTCAGTGCCAACAACTCCCCAGATTTTGCAGCTCTTGAGTGCTCTCCTCTGCAGTGTGAGCTGTGGCTGGAGCCCTGGCTCACCAGACTTTGCTGCAAAGGCTGTTCCCCTGAAGCCCAGGCTAGAGGCAGCCTGCAAAATGCATTTGGGGCAGACTTTGTCCTTCTTCACCACCTGAAAGAATGCAAGGAGGGCAGCCTTATCTTGCAGAGAAGGACACGCTAGCGTGGTCTTAGCTGATAAAGGGGCATTGGCTGGCTGATGGTGACTGCTGTCGTTCAGGCCCAATTTGTCTCCATCCCAGGTTCAGAAACAGAGAAGATTTAGCTTCTTTTTCACAAGGGCTTTCATCTTGAATATCAAATGCAAAAGCTAATGAAAGCGAAATCACGTTCACAACACACTTTTGGCTTTCAGTCCTAGTGAATCTACTTGGCACACACACTGACCAATGAGAAGAGGTTTCCCAAGAGCAAAGATCTCTCCTGAGCAGTGCCATCCTGGTTTGGTCCAGTGTCCTTTACAGCCCATCACAGAGATGCTCTTTGTAATAAGCAGACACGGCAGTGTCTTAGAGGGTCCCTCTGCTCTTTGGGGTTCCAGCCCCACATTCCTGAATTCTCATTTCTGACTGTCACCAAATACAGCAGAATCTTTATGGTAGTTCCTTATCCGCCTGCAGTGCTGCGCTTGGCAACTGTGCCTAGAGAGAGGTCTACAAGGCATCTAAAAGCCCTAAGCCCCACTTATCACCTAGGGTGTATCCCATTGCAAATCTCAATATTTTATTAGTAATATGATTGCTTTCCTGGGCAACTGAGAAGAGCAGTAGTTTGTGAAATAGGCATCAGACCCCCTAGAAATGAGAAGGCATTCCCAGCTGTTGGGACATATTTCCACAAGAGCAAAATTGCTTTGTGCTTGCCCATCATCTGTAAATGATAATAGTGGTGACACACTTGGGCCCTTTGGGAAGAATGTGGTTGCTGAGTGTTGTTAGTGCTTTGTGGTTGCTAGTTTTGAGACCATTTCTGCCAAGTGCACAAGACAACACTCCCCTGGCCCTGGGCCCTGTAACTGGCACCCGAGGGAGCGGAGAAAGGGGCTGTTGGAATGTCAGTTACAAATTGGTCTGACATCGAACCACGAGGCCATTGGGCACAGCTTGCCTGTGACATTCCAAAACCGTGCACTCCCTGCTCGTGGTGGTCTCGTGCAAGAGACTTCTCAAGGTCATGGTTGTCAACATCCCTTTAGGTGGCCATCAAGCAAGTCAAGCTCCACCAACAGAGCAAAGAGGAACTCCTGAAAGAGATCCTGATCCTGAGGGATAAGAACCACCCCAATATCGTTACCTATTTCGACAGGTAAGCAGTTCTGGTATTATCATATGAATGTTCAATTACATACTTGCAAGGCAAAAGTTAGAAAGCCCTTTCCTCCCCAGCAGAAAATGCATCTTTTAATTTATATTATTAATCTGCTTGCATACCACGTATGGGAGGAGATTGCAATTGGTCTGCATTAGTGCTTCCTGGCATTCATAGCTTAAAGACTGTTCTCAGAAATCTGGTTCTCTTCCTAAATCAACAGCCTGTATGTTCTCTCCCCTCATGTTGTTTTGTACTAGGATGTTTTTCAAGTGTCTCATTCCTCTCCACGCTGTGGTTTTCTTCTTCCAGCTACCTTATCCGTCAGGAGCTCTGGCTGGTGATGGAGCACATGGATGGAGGCTCTTTGAGGGATGTTATTAGCGAGACCTGGATGGCCGTAGGACAGATAGCAGCTGTCTGTCAGGAGGTAAGGGATCCCACTTATGGTGCTTCTGATGGCTTGGAATGGATTGTCCTGGTAAGGAGGCGATGTGAACAGGACGGATTTTAACTTTGGAACTTTGTTCCTGTGTTCGTTTGAGCAAACTGCCTGCTAGTGTCCCAGCACTTCCTATACTCTGTTCTTATGATCCTCTTATCTACCGTGGTTGTACTGTCTCGCTCTGTCTTTCTTTAAATTTATTTACTGTTCCCCACTTGGCCTCTCTCAACACTGACCTGGAGCCTGTCTGTATTGCATTGCTTGCCTGTAAAAGCAAAGGTGCTGGTGGCAGAAGTTGGAAGGAATGGCAAAAGAAAAATCCAGACTCATTTTTGCCACTCCTCAGCTTCAAAGGATAGCACTGCCCCCAAGACAGTGTTGGCTTCTCAAGACTGACTAATGGGCTACTTCCAAGGCTGCTGTCCAGGCTAGCAAGAAAATCTCCACTGCGCAGCCTCCCACCCAAAAGCGATCCACTTCATGCCATTTGTTGGCAAAGCCTCCTTTGTCCTCTGGGGGGAGAGAGCACAAGCAGTGCAGCAGCAGTCATTCTGGTTGGCTTTGCAGGGCACTAGACCAAGAAGGGATGTTTCTCTTTCAAAGCTAATACACCTTCACATAGAAAGACACTGTTCTCCTAGTGTTGGAGCAGCAAGCTCTTCCACTTGACAGCACTGTGCAACATCATTGCTCACTATTCCCCTCAAAAGGGTGGAATCTTTTAGAGCAGTTTCCTTTCTTGTGGGATGAAATTGGATGGCTCAGTTTTACCCTGAGTTTTTTTTTTTTCTCTCTCGCAGTGCCTTCAGGGACTGGCTTTCCTTCATTCCAGCTGGGTCATCCACAGAGACATTAAAAGTGACAACATTCTTCTGCGCCTGGACGGAGCGGTGAAGTTGGGTGGGTGTTCTTGGTTGGGCTCAGCGTTCTGGGCATGCAGTGTGGGGCTGCTGTGGAGTGACTGCCACTTCCCCAACAGCGCTGCTGAGTGGCTTTGGGCAGTGTGTGTCCCTTCCAGAGGCAGGGAGTTACAATGGAAACCTTCAGGGGAATAAGTGAAAGGCACTGCTTGAAGCAGGGGACTTTTGTTCCGTGGACAATGCCTTATTTCCTTGGTTGAAACCTTGAGGAAACAGAGCACGGCCACTTTTGCAGATAGATCCAGCAACACCTTCTCAGACTTAGAGTGGGCCATTCTTTTCCTTGGTTTCCTAAGGGAAGCGTGTTTGAAGAGAGTTTGTCTTTCTCCTCAGCTGATTTTGGCCTCTGTGCCCAGCTCACACCTGAGCACAGGAAACGGAGCTCCATGGTCGGGACTGTTTACTGGATGGCCCCTGAAGTTGTGAGAAGCCAACCCTACGGCCCCAAGGTGGACATCTGGTCTCTTGGCATTGTGGCAGTCGAGATGCTGGAAGGAGAGCCTCCTTACTTTAAGCAAAGCCCTTCCATGGTAAGGTGCAAATACCCTCAGGCACCAGTGTCTTTCTAAGCCCTCCCATCTTCTGCTTCCCATTAGTCAAAATGCCATTCCCACCAGCTTGAACTACTTCCACCAAGGTCCACTTCTAAAAATCTCCCTGGAGCAGAGCAGCATCTGCTGGAGCTCTGTTGCCATCAATGGCACAACCTCAAAAGAGAAACCTTCACTTCAGAAACCTTTCTTCTTAGCTTTCAGTGTTGCTTGAAATGTCTGGTGCAGGTTTTGATCTTTCTCAGCTCTCTCTCTCAACAAGACTGTTTCAGGCTTCTAAATCAGGCTTCTAAATCATCTGTATATTGTCCTGTCACGTGTCTGAATGGTCTGGGTCAGTTTAGGATCTTGCTTTCAGAGACTGCAGCCAAATCCTTGGCTGTTTCTCGGGACATGAAAGAAGTCGATGAGCTTATTGCCCCTTTGCAGCTCCTGCAGACACAGATTTCCTTTGGGCTGCACTTGTTTCGCTTTGCCAGCTGCATCACAGGAAACCAAAGTTCTGCTTCCCAGACACCTTTTTGCACGGTTGTAGAAATATTGCAAAGGGCTGGTACCTGGCTAAAGATGACTCCCTGATGGTCCATGCGCCTGTAGAAATTGGCAACGGAAAGAGCTCTGCTTGTCCTGGCCCTGCTGCTTGGCAGTCGGGTGACTGTGGCTGGAATCCACTGTCTGCAGTTGGCACGGGTGCCGTGTTCCCTTCTGCTGTGGGAGCAGTGACGTCCCTCGGGGAGCACAGTTCGAAACACAGGGAGGACAGGCACTGCAGCTCCCCACTGTGTCCAGTGGCGGGGACCAGCTGCAGAGGCACAGCAGAAGGCTGATTTTGTGGCTTTTCATTCCACTGGAGGCTGGAGCTTAAACAGCGGGCTCTGGGTGCTCAGGTACGACTACGGAAGAAAGAGGGAGATTGTCACTTTTCCTTTCTCTTCAGGCTCAAGACCTGATAGCCACAGAAAGGGCACCAAAGCTGCAGAACCCCTGGCTACACTCCTCTCTCTTGCATGACTTCCTGAACTGCTGCCTGCAGAGGGACGAGGAGAGGCGAGCGTCTGCCCAGGAGCTTCTGCAGGTAAAGAGGGAAGCGGCTGCAGGTGGAACAGCTGTCCCATGTCCCATGGATTGCTTTGGGACTAAACTCCAAGGCAGCAGATGGGCCCCCCTCCTGGTAATCTCCACACCTGGGGCTTTTCTAATGAAAACTACGAAGAATCCTACACTGCTTGGGGTTGCAAGGCACCTGTGAAGGTCATCAAGTCCAAGTACTCTGCCCTGGGCGGGGACACCTTCAAGGAGATCAGGTTGTTCGCAGCTCCTTCTGGCCAGACCTCAAATGTTTCCAGGCCTGGGGCACCTCCCAGCTCCCTGGGAAACCTGTGCCAGTGTTTCACCACTCTCCCCATAAACACACCCTCTTCCCTAGACCCAGTCTGAATTGACCTTCTTTGGGTTCTTGTCCTATTGCAACTGGCCCGGTGAACAACTGGGTGTCCCAACTGAGCAGTGTGAGATTTGCCTGGGTTTGAGGTGGTGGAGTATCCTGAGGAACAGCTTCTGCCTCTCCTCTCTTTGGGCAACTGAACTAGCCCATGTGTGTAGAAAAGAGGAACCTAAAGGAGTCTCCTGAAAGGAGCCAAGCCCTGGGACAGCAAGCAGCATTCCCAGAGTGCTGACAGGGCAAAACTCCCAGGAAGGAGAAGACACCTTGAGGAATGGATTGGTGGATTATGGGCCAGCTTTGCCTGGGATAGCAAAGTCCTGGACATGAAGACAGAGATGCAGATGGTCCCCTCCGTCCTATTTCTGCATCCTTCTGACAACCACAGGAGTCCTGCTTGAGCCTGTGAGGAAATGAATTTGGAAAGTAATGCTTCCTCTCTTTTTTGTTTTTCCCCTTTGGGCAGCATCCATTTCTACAATCAGCCGAGCCCCTCTCCACACTGGTTCCTGTGATTGTTGCAGCAAAGCAGTCCAGGGACTACAGGAGATAACCAGACCATCTCAGGATGGCTTTCTCTGAGTGATACTCAGAATAAAAACTCTGTAAGAGTTTAACTCTGCTAGAAGATTCCCTTCCTTGTCACCCTGTGAATAATCCCCACATTCCCTTCTAAATTGTCCATTATTTCTTACAGATGGAAAACCACACTCATGTGGTTTTTGGTGTCGTTCTGAATTGCGAAGAGGCTCCTTCCTTGATCAACTTCACACTGAACTGAACTGAACTGAACTGAACTGAACTGAACTGAAGGAAGGGAGGGAGGGAGAGAGGGACGGGGGAAGGGATGGAAGGGAGGCAAGGGAGGAAAGGTGGTGAAGGGATGGAGCGAGGCAGGAAGGAAAGAAGGCAGGAAGGTAGGAAGGTAGGAAGGCAGAAAGGATGGAAGGCAGGAAGGCAGACAGGAAGGCCAAAAAGAAGGAAAGAGGAAAGGGAAGCATTTCTCCTGTGAGTTGAGTCACCATGGTGAAAAGGTAAAAGGGGCAATTCTGGCTCATTCCTGTCATGAGCCGGAGGGAATAAGACACAAAACCAGTGGGGTTCTTGAACAGGGATGGAGGTCCTGCCCAAGCACTGCTCAAAGCTGATCTGCTTTATTAACAAGATGGAGGGATTTTATAGGGTAGGCTGGGGAAAGTGCTAGAAGGTAGGAGGGATATGCAAAACTTGCACATGGGATAGGTGGAGGGTAAATGAATAAACATTAGGGGATAGGATAGTATCAATTACATAACAGGGGAGAACAGAGATTGGTTGTAAGAGATTACCTCGGTGTAAATTGTCCAATGAACACACACCAGATAGCTCCAGGGAGCAAAGTCCACAGTGATGGCATGAGGCACCTCAAGATGGTGGCATCAGTAATACAGTTTATATGTAGAGAGGCATGCTCACTGTCCCTTTCGGTAAGGAAGTCCTCTCTCCCTTGCAGATCTGACAAAACCCTAAAATATCCATCTCCAACACATTCCCAGTCGGCAGCTCCCAACGTACAGAAAGGACAGCAATGCTGAATGGCCCTTAGGGACAGAGTTCACTGGTGGACATGCCAGTGTTTTGTTCGACTCAGTGATCTTGAAGATCTTGTCCTCCCTGCACAATTCTATAACCCTACAGAAACCCACAAGGGGTGGCAGAAACCCTCTCCTGATGCCAAACCCTGCACGAACCCAGACCAAGCTTGT